CTAAGTTTTTATTCAGACACAGAATATATCATTTTTATTACTAACTAGCACATGGACAGATTCTAATCTAATCACACATCATATTGAAAGGTTCATTCTGGACCTTTGAAATTGAAATATATCTCAGCATACTTGCATTCATATTGTAAAATGGGTCTGGCAGATCTGGGAGAAGTAGAGATCCTACATATTTTTATACCATCTCCTATTTGCATTTCATTAAAACACATTAAATAATGACATGGGGACATAGTTAACCTCAGACAGCTGGCAAGCTACATCATGTGAAAGAGTTGCAAAAAAACTCTGCAAATAACCAAGTGTTGATGCTGCAGTATGCAATGACACTGCATCCTTTCCACCACCGAGCATCATTCATAGCATATTGATTCATCATCACACCATGACATTATAACATCCTTTACTTTCCCACCTACCCTTTCCCAACTGCAGAAAAGAGCAGAAGAGGGTATTCTCAGCCTTTCTGTCTTTAAATACCTGCAGTTTTCACATTCTAGCAGGCATAGTTACAAGTAAACATGAGTCACAGAGGCTTATATGTTAATGAATGAGTTTGCTCTTGCACTTCTTGCTTGTATCGGGCAGCAGTGGGAAGTATATTTCCTACATTATGAATGCTGTACACTCCAAGACAGAAATAATAAATTCATGAGTTCTCATGAAGAATACGATGGGACCCACGAGCTACATGACCAGATTTGTGGTGTGAAAACAGACAAGCAGCTCTAGAGAAGTAGCTTTTCTATCCTTCCATGTTTGTAACTATGGGCACTTTGGAATCAAGATCCCGTTAGTGAATCTTAAAGAACGTAGCCAGTGATTAAAGACAACTGCACAGAGGACCAAACTCTTATTACTACAATATTTGGATCATAGCCTACCACTGATTTTAGTGCATAATTTGATTGATTCAGTGAGGGTTCTATAAGCCATGATGTGCCTTGTACAACAACAGGAGAAAGAGAGAATCACTTTTGGGAAATTACAGTACGTTGATCGAGATTTCTGCCAAACATTCCACTTACTAACCCCACAAATAAGGTGTCTCATAGTTTGAGCCTGAATTTTGTTATACCCATGTTTATCACAATTCTAAGAAGCTGCACCAAGTAGTACGTAGTTAATCTTAATTTTCAGTCTGCTCAATGTATTAAGGAAGTTTGTTCAGAGCTCTTAGATGCTGAAGCCATGAATTACTTAAGAATACAAAATACTTAGCAGTCTTGTTAGTTAGCTGGCACGTAGGATGACAGCTAAAACCAAAGAGTCAGGTTTTCTTTAATATATATAAATTTAAGAGTAGCAGGGTTGCAGCAAAATTCTAATGCCCCCATTTTCTTTCTCTTCAAGGAATCACTACAGTTCTAACAATGACCACTTTAAGCATCAGCGCACGCCATTCTTTGCCCAAGGTGTCCTACGCTACCGCCATGGATTGGTTCATAGCTGTGTGCTTTGCCTTTGTCTTCTCTGCACTTATTGAGTTTGCAGCTGTCAACTACTTCACCAACCTTCAGACTCAGAGAGCGATGAGGAAGGCAGCCAGGGCAGCAGCACTGGCAGCAGCACTATCAGCAGCAACTGTACCGGCAGAGGACGAGATTGTCTCGGTAATTGCTTGCTTTTCTGATAATAAGCATCATATAGGAAGAGGCAGCTGAAGTAGTGAGTGCAAAACAATATTAAAGTGATCTTAACCTGAAACAGATTATGTAACCCAGTCATGTCTATTTATCGAAGACATTCTTATTTCAGAAAATGAAAATACTTCATTTATTCATTCTGTTTATTTAAATTTGAGATATGATTTGCTAGAGAGATGTTTATTTGGTAAGATATTTAAGGAAAGCTATTATACTGTTACCCATAATACTTCTCTTGAGCAATGCTGTAGGCAGTGTGGTCAGGGAGATGTGTCTCTCTCAGGAAGTCTGCAGAATTTGTAGGACACTGTAGAATGGAATGAGCATGTGCATTGGCCAGATGATCACGGGATCATTGTGGTACACTGGTACATACCATAAGTGGGTCATCTGGAAGAGGAATTAGCCTTTACATAAACTTGGCAGCTGTTACTTTCATAAAAATGTGTTGGTGGAAGCTTGGGGAAAAAATATAAATGTAAAGATTAAGGATAGATTTTACTGTATGCGAAAGACCAGAAGGCTTTCCTGTATCAAAAAAAAATATGTCAGAATTGCTTGTAAATATTATTCCTTATATCTTGGGCTAAGTAATGAAAGCTGCCTCACAACATGTGTTAGTATATTTATCACTATAGTCCTCCTGTTTTCAAAATCAGTTTTACTACCATCACATTTCCCATTTTGAGAGGACTAAACAGAATTTGAATAACCTTTCGAAAAACCTTTGAGTTTGTAGTTGAATAAGGAAGTCAATCTAAGAGCTACTGAATGTCAGGGCAACACCTTACCCACCCTATAGTAATTTTTCCACATTTGCTTATGAACAGCAGTTAAAGTTGCAACATCTTTGGACATTCAAGCCATTAAAATCACAATTGATAAGTTTCATGTAACAGCGAAATATTTCAACCTTACAGAAAACAATGAGAGGAAAAGAGATATATATTTACCAATATTTAGGACATACTTCTTCCTTCCCCAATATCATGACATTTGAATGAGAAGTATTCAGTTCTGAATGAGCAGAACATTCCAGAAGTAAAATAGTGTAAAATAAGAAAAATACTGTTAAGACAGAAGGAACTTTAAAATGAACTAAAGCTTCTTTTTTTTTGTTGACTTTTTTTTTTTTTTTTTTGAGGGCAAGCTATCAGAAAAAAACTTAAAAAGATGACTTGGCTTTATATAGCACAGAAAATATTGATAGCTGCTACATAATGAAAAGGAACAACAGCTCTGATCTTTCCTACAGATCCTCCCCCAATCTCTAGAAGACAACTGTTGCAAAAAAATAACCCTCTGCATATGCCTAGATATAGAGAATATACTCTGGATAATTGTGACTCCTTCAGTACTTGTGGGTGAGATTTACATGGTCTCTGTATTATTGCAGACCAAGCTCAGCACAAACTAAAAAATTGCTGTTGAACAAATTAATAAAAGAAAAAGAAATTAGAAGACCTCAAGTTTCTTTTCAAGGGCTTCAGCCACAAATAAGCACAAAGCCAAAGTGAAGACATACCTTCCTCACTTTGTCAATATTTGTTAGCTTTTCCAAGTAAAAACAAGCACAAAATAAGCATCTAGGAAGCACACTGCAACCACTTCCTGAAAAAAACTATTTACAACTATCTAACAACATACAAATAAAGAGTAGTAAACCCTGTATCATCAAAGTCCCGAGGTAAACTCAGTCTCTAAAACAGCCCGCAGTTTCCACCAAATTCTGTAGTCCTCATCTTTCTCAAAGCTCGTATTATCCAAGACAGGAATTTTCAAGCCCTGTAAATGCACCAATTTTTTTTCCTCACAGAACCAGTTCTCTACGAGAACCCACCTCTACAGTAATAGAAAAAGCAGAATCTATGAGATCATAAAAATGAAGGGTACTTACTCTTGAAGGAAAGACGATGTAGCCAAAATGGCTTGCAGAAGAATTACCCATTGAATTTAAAAGGCCCCATTCCAGAAGGGCATGCTGGGAAAAAGGAGTAATCACAGGATAACAGACTTTAAGAAGCTTTTTTTTTTCTTTTTTTTTTTTTTCTTTTTTTTGTGTGGTGAAGTAAAGAGGGAAAAAAAACTTGCGTACATTTTCACATAGATAGATATACCACAGCCAGTAATATATTTCAGCTGAAACAGACCTGAACTAGCAAATTGGAATGCTAACAGTATAGTTAGCACAGGCTGATTGTATGAGTATGTGGCCATTTCCTCGAGATTATAATCCTCTACTGAGCTTCGTATTTCTATAGTTACATCACTGGTCTTAATGCAGTTGTGGTTGAATCAGGCACACAGCAGAATAGTCTCTTTCTTATTGTAGATTTATGAGCTGTTTCTAAGGTCCTGATTTCCCTTTTCTTGCCCCTTATCCCCCAACTTGTTCAGTTTATTTGCCTCTAAATACTCTCATAACTTTTCCTTCCAGATTCTTCTTTACTTGGTTGCTACAATGCCCAGTTCTTATTCTTTACCCCATGCGTAATTCATCTTACCTCTCCTGCTCTTCTTTTTTTCTAACTCACTTGAAAAAAACCTGTTAGAATCTGTGTCAACATTAAAATGCTTTTTAATTATTTAATTAAAAACAATAATTCAAAATTTTCCCTTCTCTTATAACCTGGGCTTCGGTACCTTGTATTTTCTAATCTGTGATTTTTAAAAATTTCTTTTCACTCCTTTAGAGAGGATAGTAAAGTTTTTCATTCACTTGTAATGTTAGTATTTTTATTAGTGATTTTTAAGTGCATTAAATTTGTCAGAATTTTAGCTATATGAAAGAGCCAGTATAGGATGAAGAGTAGTGACCAGTGTGACAAAAGTGCTTACTGTCTTCTGCATTTACAGAAGTTAGATGGTATTTTTACTTTGAGAAAATTTCTGAAGATTGTAAAGGTTTACTTAGTTCTGGGGAGTCCATTTGTAGAAATAAAAGTAAAAAAGTGAGATGTACTTGAAAATGTTCATGGCTATGCAACTGCAAATAGAAGCAGGCTACCAGTAGCAACATCAAGAATAATGACATAGACTATATGTTTTTAATGATCTATTATCTTAAATTGCCTGAAGAATGGCAAAAGAACATTGTGGTGGGAATAACCTTTGGCTGTCTGAACTAGTACTTTCTGTATGACAGGAGACCCATTCTCCTGCTTTGTGTAAGAAAAGCCCAGGGATACAGTTTTGGTATAAATGAAAATTCAAATGAGTTATAAAACAGCCAGTTAGGAGCTTTTGCTGCTTGAGTGAGGGCCTAAACTCATCAAGATAAACATACTTACAGAATATATTCAGGTTTTTGAAATTCCAAATTAACCGTTTCAAAAAAAACCAAACCAAAAATCTTTTAAAATATTATAAAAAGCCTCCTTCCCCCTTCAGTCTGGTTATTTTTATTTAAAATCTTGCTTTATTCAAATGAACAAAACTTTTTCTCATGGTTTTTTATATTGTAGCCAAAAAAACCTGTACACTCAGAAAAGAAAGAGGGCAGAGGATCAAATTCTGCTCTACTGTACCAGTGAAAGGAGGACAAACTCTGCTCAAGTCATTACACTACGCTAGTTTCTGTAAGAGAGACAATGGTCTGACTATGTACTGGGTTAACTGGTGACAGCCCAGCATGCCTGTTCTGGTTCCAGGAAAGCTGCTCTGTTTGCCTCAGTTAACTGAGAGCAGAATTTGGCTTGCTCTCTTTGTCAGCTGCAGGCAGTCCCTGTATGAAACACAAAACTATGGGTGTTCCACTCCAAAATACGATGGCAACAAGCTGAGTAGTCATCTGGACTCTGACAGAAACCTATTTTTATTCATATGGTGACCAAGCTTGTTCTAGCACGTCAAAACCAAACGTTACATGTATACAAATATTAAAAAAACCCACCTCATTATGACATTTAGCTTTTTAATCTATTTCAAATATGTATTTTCTATATCAATCATATTGTTTCATCATTATGGCTTTCTTTATCCAGGAGTATCGCAATACTGGAAATGGCAGGGGAAGGGGAACTGGGGATCCTATCTGGAGTGTACCACTTGAAGCAATGCTCTGCGAGATGGTCAGGGGGTACACACCGTGAGAGACTACATGTAGAAGACAAAAGATTGTTACAGGGTGGTAGCTTGATTATAGTTATGTTCTAAAAGACCTGTTTTAACAGAAAGCAGCACAGAGCAGTGAAACACTGCTGGGAGATCTTCCTTCTTCCTACAAAGAGCCTTGTCCCTGTGTTTCAAAATAACATGGCTTGGGCAGAAGAGGGTTCTCATTCTCTGTAACAACTGTGCCCAACTGCAGAGCAGCCGTATGTGACTTTGGTATAGAGGATGTAGTTTTCTATAATTACGTCAGAATATATTGAGTATGTTTAATGAGTATCCTAGTGTAACTGAAAGGAGAGCACTTCTATTTGGATTATCAACAGCCCTTTATGAAACCATCCTAGAAACAGCGATATGCATATGTGTCTTGACTGAGAACATGCCACTTTCAATCGAATTAGGGAGACCTTCCTGCTCCTCCACAATTGCAGGTTATCAAGTAGACTATGAAAAACAAATAACTTTCAATTCTATTGACTTTCTGTCATCCCAACAAGGGAAGTAGCTGCTGATTATTTGGTTCTGTCTGCGTTAAATATTTGTCTCATTGGCAAAGCTAATGCAGGGCAGTCAGGAATGTTTGGAAGGAGCTGATAACATACACCAAAATGGAAAAAATTCAAGATGCATTGGATTTAGACATTTTTTTGTTCAACATTGAAGCCTAATCCCTGTAACTTTTTTGCAGGGGGTGCAGTGAGAACAAAATCAAATGAGTTAAATTATAGAAAAACACCCAAACAAATCCCTCTAGTGCTGTAATTCTATATCATTTAGACACTCAAAGAAGTAGTTTCTATATGCTGCAGAAATTTAGCAAAGTAAATGTAGAGACAGGGATTGTTCTGGACTCA